CCAGCGCTGTCTCTCGTTTTGACACTGCTCGGTGAGGGGTCGTTTATGTGGCCGTGGCAGTTTCAGAGGTCTCCTGACTCTGTTGCTGCTGCACTCAAGCCTGTTCTGTATGCTCTGATCCAACAGGGTGCTGTTCTGAAACTGAACTGTAAGAACAAGGAAATATATGAAATGGTACAGTGAATTTACTGCCGACCCGACACGGTTAATGGCCAAACCACACAGAAAAACCGTGTTATTGAAAATAAGGCTCTGTATGGTTTCACTGAAAAATGAGTCATACCATTATAGAACACATCAGCTAATGATAAGCAGACAGAACTTTTTTTCTCTCTTTGCTTTAGAAAACTACAAGAATTACGGCGAAGCAGTGCTGTAACAGATACAATTACCGAGGCGACTTTTTGACATGTGTGGGGTCATATATTGTCCAAGTCAAAAATCTGTTTATTGTGGAGTGATTTCTTTAGTTCTTCAAAGTGATGCTGAGAACAGAAGTGCAATGACTGCATTTAATGAGCTGTCATTCAAGTGCAAGGCTTAACTGACAGAAATGTCCAAGGTTACTTATTGCATATAACATATTTTTGCAATATAATTAACACAAGCCACTGATTTATAAGGTCTTGACTCGAGCAGTGTGAAGATACTGGTTAACTGCTTTTTCCAGTGGTAGAATTATCAAGGTAATATTGCCTGCAATCCAAATATAGGAAGGGCGACGTCACCTTTATATTGAAAAAGCTCATTTGAGTGTACAAATAAATACTTCCCCCAAATCCTGAATTTCTTTCTTTTATATATTTTGTAATATGAGGACATATGATTTCAGTTAATTAAAAGTGATTTTCTCACCTTTGCTCCCCTAATTATGCGGTACAGTGGTACAATTCCTGCGACTATAATTACTGATGATATTGCCCTCTGAGTTTCATTATAAGCCTTGTTAATAAGGAGCTCCGAATCATGTGCAATATAACGCTTTGAATGACTTAAACAAAGACCATGCGTGGATAGGCAGGGAAATGTCTCACATCTCTTACAAAGTGTGAGATTACTTCTTAAGTAGGTATGTTTTTCCCTGTGAACAGAGCCCAGATGTTCAGGCTGATCAGGTCCTGTACAATATGGATGTCATCTGTTCACGTGAACAAAGAGTGAAAGCAAGACAGTGTAGTTTAATAATTGTTTTCACTGTAAATTATCCAAAATTCATGGAGAATATTACATATATTATGCACCCAAACAAAAATGACACGTAGCATGATTTATTTGCTTCATACTGGCCTTTAAAAATATGGATATAGACCAGTAGGAGCCATATAATGCTGATATGACATTTTAGAAATGCATTGGTTGTTATATTTTTGTCGATTATTTTGTCATTTTACTTCTCAGTTTATTTCTCCAAGCTCCCAGTATTTCCTACAACTACACATCTGTCAGAATTTAAAACTACATGACGGTGTAAATGCTGTTTCAGAGGCTCTTCCAGTCTGTCAACAATAACATTTCAGGAAAAAAAAATCACAATATTCCAGCTGAACATCAGCATGATGTATTATGACTTCAGTTTAAAAATATTGGTATTGTGACTGCCCCTCAGACAACCGTATCGGTCTATCCTGAAGATGCACAAACACTTACAAACACACACACACACATGTGCAGAGGTAAGATCTATAGACTCCCAGCTGAGCCTGTGAGTTAAATTGGCCTGCAGGTCTTTCTGTACCCCCTGCGAAGCTTGGTCGTCACATCATGTGGCGTCAATCTAGTGTCACAACACCAAATGTCTCTCAGATTCATCAGGGAACGGACGCAGGGAGAGTGACTGAACGCAGTACTCACACCAAATAAAAGCTGGAAGCATCCGCAGACATATCTGACATGCAACAAAGTACTCCATGTGTCTCGTAGTGCTTCTGTAATAGCTGGCTAATTCTCAGGAGCAGTGAGGCAGAGTGCTTGACAACATCATCGACTGTGACAGGCAGATTGTGTTTTCACGTGAGCGTGATCGACAACAGATTGCACTGAGCCCGGGCTGTTCCTGTTTGCCCTGGAAATGTGTTAGTGTTTATCTTTTGCTTCAGAGAGGCATTCCTTTCTTTCTCCCTCTCCGTTACAAAAAAAAAACACACATTTTTTTTCAGGCGAGCTGTTTTGCATGTGTGTGTGTGTGTATATGTGTGTGTGACACACGCTGAGAAGTGACTGCCAGGAGAGGCTTAAGAAACAATCCAAGCAAGATCAATATCAGCAAACCGCACTTATGTGTTTGACTTAACATGCAGTCGCAGTTTCCCCTCTTCTCTTTTTATGCACAGCTGATGCCAAACCTCACGAAATTGCATTTACCCAAAAGCCTAAAGTGTGTGTGTGTACACAGTGTGACATATTTGAAATTACATAATTGTTTTGGCAAACTGTTGATTTTTCTCCACCAGGCTTTGATGAGACTGTCAACCCACACTTGAACACACACACACACACACACACACACACACACACACACACACACACACACACACACCAAAGCTCAAGTTCAGGATTGCATGTTCTGAGAGTGGGAGGGATGGACAATGGCTAATGAGTTGAGCAAGAAAAGTTTCAGATAGCAAGAGACTAATAATCTAGTTCGTTTTAATTAAGGAGAAAATCGTTTGGCTCGATTGCCACAACCTACAGTGTTTAACGTGCAACACACTCTGCTGGTTTGCATACACTTATTGTGTACCTATGTCTGAATTTATCCACCATACAATGTAACAGTAATCTGGCTGTAATGCTTTGAGTTGTTTCTATCATATTCAGATTTAGCCGTAGACCCCCACTTGGTAGTCTCAAGAGCAAAATATACAGTAGGTCTCCCCTACTTTGCATTAAATGTGTGAGGCTGTAAGTATGCCTTCACTATAAGTTTATCCCTGTAGACAAGTCAGACAGTCATTTATGAATATGCATGAGCCAGTGTTTGCCTCGTTTAATGATTTTTCACCATTCAAATATATTCAATCCACCTCCCCCCACTTATTTCTCTGTACTTCATGTGGACATTACACACACACACACACACACACACACACACATCCACATCCACATCCACACATAGATGTTAACATGGATCTTGCTCACTATGTGCAATGTGCATGCAAACAATTACCATTTCACTGGCAGGTTCACTCTCTCTTCTCCTCCTCACGCTTCCCTATGCTACTTCCCCTCCCAGGTGCCAACCAAAGACAACCTCAAGCATTGTGAACACTGAAAGGACCTCTCCGATGAATCGCTGACAGGCAGCGCAGAAAAGCTACGAGACCGAGGGCACGCAAGACGGCAGACGAAGGAACACTGAACGTGGTATGTACGAGCACGCAGGCACCCATAGGTGTCCATATGCCGGTGACATTTTTCATGCAGTTGCCGGTGGCGCACGCTTAAAGGTATGAATGGAGGAAATTGTCTGTTAAGGGTGACAGATCTGTATGTTTCATACACGCTGATATGTGATGCCATTGATATGTGCCATGTTGCATTTATGAGCCCACTGTGTCTAACAAACTACACCTTATTGATTATTGTGGAGGTCTGGGGGGGGAGCAGAGGAAATGCTATTAAAGATTAAAGGGTCAGGTGATGTGAAGGTGGTATCCCGAGTCATCAGACACCAGCGGCTTCAGTTACAGACTGTAATGTCCGCCCGTCAGGCAGATTAGCCAGCTTGATTTATTTATTAACTGATTTCATGTCCCGCCATTTCCTACCCTGACTGACTGACTGACTGACTGACTGGGTGACTGACTGCATACATGGCTTATGCTTCACAGGTGAACTTCAAAAGGAAGGGGAAAATTAGGACGCTGCTTGGTGTCCACTTACACTTCACGCAGTCTGTATGTGCAGACATGTACTGCAAAGCTCATTACGGAAATGCTTCACTGTTTGTCTACATGTAGACAAAAAAAAGTTGATTAACTGGGATTAGACTAAGATTTTTTTTAGCATGGAAGTGATAAAGATCAACAACTGTATGCAAAACTTTGACCAAAAAATATTCGAGCACACATGTCAATCAAAACCCAGGATTATATAGTTTCTTTCCCTGAGTATGGATCGATGAAACTCAAGAGTGAGACCCGATGGTGTACTGGAGTACCACAGGCTCCATTCAAGTCAGCCACTCTTTAAACCGATGCAGCACCCATATAATGTGAGTATAATAGACCCGCAGTATTACAAGGCCTATCTGGGATACATCTCTGTACAGCCTGCCTGTCTCTGTCTTATCTGAAGTGGCAAACTTGCTGTTCTAATTGTTATCTTCACACTAATAGAGTGGATGTTTTGAAATCATTTGGTTGGATGGATAAAGGCTTGGTAATTCCCCCATGCTTACTGTCTGTGTCAGGGCTTATCTGCACGAGATAGCTGGGTCCTGAAAAATGATTGGCGGCATGCAGGAGGTGGAAAGTTTGTAAGTAACTCAGAGAGGAGGCAGCATTTGTGTTGCACAGGCATGGAAGAAATCTGTTGGGGAGTGGATGATGGTGGGTATTGTTAGCGAGATATATGAATCGGGTCTACTTTTTATTGCAAGAAGGGTGTCATATATTGAAATAATGAGTGTTAGAATAAATAATTTATGTTGTTTCTTCCATTTCCAAAGTGGAGAGATTTACCTTTTCTGTCTTTTTCTGATGATACCTGCACAAAACAACAGGCCACAACACAAACATCAACTTTGGGCAGCTGGATTTAGCTGTCTAAAGTCAGCTAACGATGCTTAACGTGCTCTCCGTTGGTTCATTAGTTAAAGCACACATTCCCCATCATCTTCCTCTAGTGGTCCTCTCTGAGCAGTTAATTGTGCGTCCACTCTATCGGGGCTGGCGCGATAATAAAGCATTAAGAGCCGTGCCTCTTTCATTAAAGTAGAGTTGGGAAATGTGAGCCCGCCCCCTTTCAGGAGTCAAAAAAAAAAAAAAAAAGAAAGACAGAAAAAAAAATCGATTATTTCTCCTCGCGCTTGGAGAGAGGAGAGGGCTTGGGGAAAGACTCGGTCAGGATTGTGGGAAGGAACAGAAACAGCCTCCTCAACATCACCAGCAAGCTCCAGACGTCCAGCAAGCAGCACACTAGCACCACCTCCAACACCATCACCATCACCATCGCCGCTCCACCGGGTCCCTCTCCGCTCACCGGCACCTCGCAGAGAGCAGAGAGACCAGGCGAAGCGTCCTCGCCGCCTCCTGAGCAGACACTGTCCGATCAGAGAGGGAAGGAGACACAGAGAGGGAGGGAGAAAGAGTCAGAGTCAGAGAGAGAGGGAGAGAGAGAGAGTGTAGTTGTCTCTGACATTATAGAGACTCCTACCACGTACTGTAGGTTACTTTTTTTTCCTCCCGGCGACGTCCTCAGCTAAGTTGCGCTCCTGGATTTTAAGTGCGTCTTGGCGAAGTCCGTCCCCATCAAGCAGCAAGCTTCAGCCTTCCTGTCAATCGGCCGGACCAAACAACCGGCGGAGCGCTTGTTGTATCTTTCACTTCAACCCGGGCAAGATTTCACGCGAAATAAAGTAAGTACCGGCGCTCACACACGCTCAGAAACATCCACAAGACATCATATGATCTGTGTTTTTTAATCTTCCAGAGGGAAACTTGAGGGTCTATTTTGACGCGCGCTTCCTCCTCAACAAAGTACACTAACTGCGCCTATTGATTTGTTGTGACCCTGATCGACTTATGCCGGTGACAACTATGTCATATAATTACACGCCGGCATCAAATAGCTGTTTATGGTCTATTAGAGGGGGTCAGGGTCTGTCTCGTGTTTTAGGTAGGGTTACTGTGTTGTGTCGACCTTGTGGAGCTTTCTCATGTCCACATGCAGGCGCACAGCCTCAAAGCCACAGCTACTGAATCCGCTGCCCTCCTTAATATAACACAATACAGTATGATCTGCTCCTCTGCGCTGTGGGATGGCACAGGAAAAGTTAGTTAGTTTAAAATGTAGCCTGATATGTGCAGTTTTACAAAATAATATGATAGGAAACTTAAAAAACTTGAAGACAATGGAAAATAAAAAATACGTAGAGTTTAGAAGTTTTAAAATTTTAGATAATTACCTTTATTAAAGCAGCAGAATGAAGGGAAACTACACTTTACATGGCCTTACTTTGTGAAGATGTAATTCTTTAGCAGTGGTTTGGATGTGCCAAACTGAGGTGATCACAATTATTATGCTATTCCACATTAAATCAGGACAACCTGCACATTTTAAACTTTCATAAATATATAAGAAAAGACTGATTAATGTAAACTTTAATATTTCCCAAACTACAATACAAGAGAACACAGTTTTCCAGACTTATTTGGACGTGAATTCATGCAGACCAGAGACACAGTGCTAGTGTAAATCAGTGTTTCAGAGGTTTGGCGTCTTCAGGCTGAATTTTAATTTCTCCTCTGTGACTTTGTGACTGAGACTGTTCGGACTTATTTCGCCATACAGCGAGAATGATATATTTATCCAGTGAGTTTAGCTCAGTCTCGTGTGGCTCAACTGAACCTGTTGCAGTGAGAGGATTAATAATGACACCATAATTAACCTGTGGCAACTTTCACAGGTTGCAGCTTTGGAAATCTAATTGGATTTATTTGTTTTGTGCTTAAAGTGTGGTTGTGAGGCCCACTGATGAAATGTGCAGATGAAGTAAGGGTGGGTTATGAAATTTTAAATTTACCACAGCACACTTCGTTTTAATTAAGACAGATTGTGGAGATGCCTTGGCTGTGTGCATCTAACTCATGTTCATTAATACAAGCGTAAAAGTTCACATCTATACCCTTATTTTCTTGTGAAATTCTTTTAAAGTTAAACATCAATTTTACTTCTGAAATAAATACAGTTCATTTTAAAAGTTTAAAAAAATGCTATTAATGTAGAGATGGCTGCAGTTTCTCAAAATTAATAAAACTGATCTAATATTCACAGCACATTTTGAGATATATAAGAACTATTAAATTTGAAGTAGTCTATTAGTGAGATATTTTGAAGGCAAAGTACATTTTTAAGTGATAAAGTGTTGCTGTCTGCTTCAACATATCAACCTAATTTGTGACTCTGTGAAAGGCGTACTGCACACACTCACTTACTGCTTGATTGCATTTCACAGTTAGTTAAATTTGGAAAATAAAATATAGCGCCTGCATAAAGTGTACGCAACATTTGAGATACATTTTTTACACTTTGAGAGGATGTAGTGGTCCTGTGCATTGTCCCATTACTTTTATAATCCTTTATGCTGTTTCCTACGAGTTGTTTACGTGTGAAAAAATATATAAAAGTGTATTAGTCTATAAAAAGATTTTACACATGGCCTTCTCTCTCCTGTCCATCGTCAATGAAGTTGTTCTGTGTGGCCTGTCTGGCCTGTTGCTCTCTTGGGATTTAGCGTTAGGTTAATCCGCTCAGAGGAAGGTGAGCGCTCGCATGTGGACCCACGATTACACACAGAGGACTCTGTCAGCCAAGCTCTGTAATCTCAGAGACCCTGTGCAAACACACACACATACACGCATGCACGCTCGCATGCAGTCGCACGCAAACTCACACAAATGCCTAGGCGAAGGCACGGTCTGCCTCCTTTCTTTCCTTTTCTGTCTTTCTGCTGCGCGCACACACACACACACACACACACACACACACGCACACACCGACACCCACACTATCTGGCCTGCGCTGCTTTTGTTTCTCTTATTCTCTTAAGACCTCTCCTTCTTGACAAATCATTTGGGATTTTGGGCGCTGATTCACAAAACCAACACTGACAACAAACTCTTACCCCCTCACACAGAGAGGGATTAGAAGGTCACGTGTCCCTGTGATTGGCCAGGGCATTGAGCCGATTGTCAGGGCACTTTGCTGTACACCAGGGGCTCAGTAGAGCTTTAGTTAAGTGAAGGGAAGGGACACATTGTGTGCCATGGTCAGGGTTTCGCCATGTGTTTGAAAAGTGCTCAGACAAAACCAGCACAGGATGGACTGTTGCTCCTATCTTTAATCAAATAATATTACGCCCGTTTAATGTGTGAATGCTTATCTGAGTGCTGCAAAAATCTGTGCTATCAAGCCTTTTTAAAAAGGAGTAAAGTATACCAGTGTGCTGCCTCAGAGCATGGACATTTAATACTGCACAGAAGGCACATTTCAAGATTCCCTCCTTCTGTGAAAACATTATTCTTAATGGAAACATCAGAAGCATTTATATTTAAGCAAATAATTTAATGGCCCCTTTTGCTATGCTTTAAAGTTGTTTTTTTTCACTAATGGTTTCAAATATTTTGGAAGGGGTTTGCAGAGTTTGCTCAGTTAAACTTCAGTAAAACACTCATTTGCAGATTGCAGGTTGGCAAGATCTGCAGGTAGATATTGGAGCACTGTAATTGGACTTCATGCCCCTTGGCTCAAATAAGAAGGTAATATAAGAGTCAATTGTAGAGAATCCTATTTACCTCATATATAAGGAGTAAATAATATCTTAAACTGTCAAGAGACACCCCTGTAAATAACGCAGTGTACTTTGGTTTACGTCCTTTCTAATAAATGCTGGAGAACACTAAAAATCCAGATGTGGTTGATTAAAGATAAACTCTCTTTTTAGCAAATGTATCTGACACAAAGCGTGTAGAAATGTGAAGCCATTTGCTTAGAATAACTTTTTTTTCTTGCCTGTTTATAAGCAGATGAAAATACTTAAGTTTTATAATAACTCAAGGGCTTGTTGTATTCTTGTTTATTGCACAAGGCAGGTGTTCCTTCTTTTTTGCAACATGGGAGGAAAAGTTTCTCTCTTTTTTTGGTTTTCATACATTTTTATAGAACTAATGAAAAGCGCAGGGCTCAACCTCACCATGTGTTTATTTACTCATTTCGAACAGATCTCCCTTTCTTTGTCCCTAACTGTTGTGCATGTTCGAAATGTTTACCCAAATGTTTCTTTGCCTTCGGAGCACTGTCTGTATATCTTCATAAGAGCTGCAATTACTCATGAAACTTAAAAAAAATAATCATCTAAAGTAAATAACACAGTCCTTGAATGGTTTATGGTGGATTGAATGCATATATTTGAATATGTCCTGGTTTTTGCATAATGATGCAAAGTCTTCCTCTGTCTCTATCTAGTAATTAGCGGTGACGTTCAGCAACTTTCTCTGTACGCTGTAAGTGGATGGGGGTGTATGGGGTTTGTTCACTGGGGTGTTAAAGATCACAGAGGAATATATCAGCCTTTGATGTTTAATTGTATTGTAAAACACACTTTAGAATATTTCTGCATAAAGTAGACTTCTGGCTGTGCTGTGCTTTGTGTTTGCTGTTTCTTTGTGTGTTTGTCTGTCAGTATGTGCTGTGTGTCTGGGAGGTGTGTGTGTGTGTGTGTGCGTTCAAGTTTGTGTCTTGTCTCCGTCTGTTTGCGCGTCGGAATGTTTGTGCTTTTGTGTTTTTTTGTCTGAGTTTTGTGAGGTTGTCGCTGGTGTATATTCAAATGAAAATGCGTGTATTTTTCTTTTTCTCCTTTATTCTCACACTGAGGAGGGTAGGATTTGATGTCTGGGATGATGGAGCAGTCTGGAAAACAGTGTCAGTGTGAGGGCTGAAAAGGCAAACTGAGAAGACAGATGCGCAGAAAGACAGACACACACACACACACACACACACACACACAGAAAACGTAGATAGAAATTTATTTGAGCTTAGGTGATTTATGAGCAGAGCGACAGAGCGTCTGGCCTGTGATCAGGTATTCTTCATTACAGAGTGATGCTTTTGTGATGTCATGCTTAACACATCGATGTAGATGAACAGGATGTCCTGCCTTCTTCTTCCTGTTTCCTGTTTCCTGCACGGGCCTGTTGGTCATTATGGCAGCAGCTGCCTGCTGGGTGGTCTTTGCTCACTTGTGCTGACCACACAATCATATCGTCAGCTGCGGCCCACCTAAAGAGACACCCAAAACACCTTGCCATACTTGAGGCCTGCTCTCTGAGTTATTTGGACAAGGAGAGAGTCCTGGGAGGCGAGAAGGCAGGAGGAGTGCAGGGAGCAGAGGACTTTGAATGATAAGACAAAGAGAAACATTTAGAGTAGAACAGAGGTTGGATTTCTTTGTCTAAACACCGGATAGTTCAGATCAGGCTGAATGCCTCAGCATCAAGACTTCAATCTTGCAATGGGAGTTGAATGAACACATTTATAAAAGAGTCCATTAACTTCCCCACCAGATACTTACTTTAGTTGCCTTCCTGTGAGATTTTTAATCTTTACTCAGCATCAGTATCAGCCTAGTCTGCATTACCACAAACACTGTATATCTGAAATACCTGCTCGAAACACGTGTGGTAAATCCAGAATTAACTGGGAATCCTTTTCAGTGAGTTTTAGGGGTTAGTTGGGAGAGAGGTGTTTGCTGTCCATGTGCATAAATCTAGCGACAGCGCATGTTCCATCATAAAACACAGTGCCTGACCTGTGAATGTAAAGGGGCAACTTCTTACCCCCTAATATATTTTCAGAGAG